GTTGTTGTTGTTGTTGTTGCTGTTAATGTTGTTAATGTTGTTATTAATGTTGTTGTTGTTGTTGTTGTTGTTGTTGTTGTTGTTGTTGTTGTTGTTGTTGTTGTTGCTGTTGTTGTTGCTGTTGGCTTTGCTGTTGGTGATGTTGCTGTTGCTGTTGATGATGATGTTGTTGTTGCTGTTGTTGATGTTGTTGTTGCTGTTGATGATGATGTTGTTGTTGCTGTTGTTGTTGATGTAGTTGTTGATATTGCTGTTGTTGCTGCTGTTGTTGATGTTGTTGTTGCTGTTGATGATGATGTTGTTGTTGCTGTTGTTGTTGTTGATGTAGTTGTTGATATTGCTGTTTTTTGTTGCTGTTGGTTGTGCTGTTGTTGTTGCTGTTGTTGTTGTGGTTGTGGTGGCTGTTGTTGCTGCTGCTGCTGGTGGTGGTGGTGGTGGTGGTGTCGTCGCTGTTTGCGTTCTTGCTGTAGTTTCTGGCAGTAAAGACATCAATGGCCTTAGCACGCGACACGTTGCCGGCTGGGAATGTGACTGTCGGGTGGGAGGGCGCCGAAGAGGTATGCGAAAGCGCTAATTATTGATAGTCAGCAGAACTTTGACAACCCTCTAACAGCAGTACGAGTATCTCACAGCGGCTACAGAATACATTTCTACAAGCAACGCTTCTACGTTGGTAAACCTCACCGTAAATGTGTCTGAGTCTGTCGGTCCGGCCCGCCTGAGAGCAAGCTCTGCTGACTGCCGCTGAAATACGCTTCGGAGAGCTCTGCCTTCAGAGTGACAATGTGACCGCCAAGAACACATAAAGAATAGACGGGGCAATGCCACGTGCGCCCCCGGCTTCTGCGCAACTCCGCTGAAAGATGACCCGCACAGTCCCGATCCAGACTTGGTGAAAAGGAACCCCGGCCTTTCGTGAGGCATTCTTGTCCTGGCTTCAGTGGGCACATCGAGTGGGCACATCGGTACTCGACGAAGGGAGGCAGGACACACAAGCAAGACTAGCGACGAGGCGGCTGGGTTCGCGGAAACTGCAGCTTTGACTCATGAGGACAACACATCCCAACGATGCTGAAGTTTTGGAGGGCCAATTACAGACTCGAAGTTGGCCATCGGGTTCAGGATAGTCCGTCAAGTAGGCTAGCTAACCGTTGCAAGGCTTTTGGAAGCCTTCTTCCCGCTTGCTGCTGCCACGCGAGCTTTGTGTTTGACCCGAAAGCCGAAAGAAGCAGTCAATCACCTCAAAAGCCCCTGTACCCGCGAAGAATGCAGCTTCAAATTCCTCACACAGCAAACTGGTTAGTAGTCCTGCTCAGCAGGGTCGGACGGCGAAGGATCCTTTGGCACTCAGCACGAGTCAAGTAGTGTCGTGCTTCTGTGCTGCCTTTGTTGTCATTCGGGCTTCAGGTCGTGCGAGACTTCGACGGGCCAAGCCCGGAGCAGCTGCAGCAGCTGCGGTCGTGCCGAAGACCGCTCGTAACCGGGCCGGACAAGTTCCAGCGCACTGTGTCGAACGGTGCAACATCACACGACTTGTCGCTTCGACTTCAGAAAAGTCACCGGCATTTGTGGATAGGCGATACTCGAGACACAGACCCACGAAATCAGAACCTGGCTTCGGTGTCCCATGAAGCGCGAAGATTGGACTGCTCACTTTGCGGACTCAATCAAGAAAGCGTGAAATGTGAGTGTGACCTCTGCACCTGGACCTATGAGGCTGCCACTTCCGGAAGAAAAACCGTGTGATTCGCTGAGAGCCCACGCCCACAAAGACTGCCGGAAGTGGCGCTCCTCTTCCCAGGACCTTTGTGGCCGCACATCAACGGCACGTGCTGAATTTCGGGTCAAGCCTCAGGCTGATGAGATGAAGATGGTGACGAGGACGGATGCCATTGCTGGTGATGCTCTTCATGATAACGATGATGATGATGATGATGGTGAGCACGAGCATGTCGAGCGACTGCTGCTGCCAAAGTATGGCGGTGAGCAGTGAGTAGTAGGCAAAACGAAGATAATGGCGACGATTGCCCCTGCACATCCCTGCTCGGTATTCCTCCTGCTACTAGCCACGCTGTTCCTGCCGCGACAGCATGGGATTAATCAGGAGGAAGAGTGCAACGACAACGACCCTGCTGCTGATACTAGTACTCCTCCTCCTCCTCCTCGTCCTCCTCCTCCTAATGATACTGCAGCTACTACTACTACTACTCCTACTACTACTACTACTGCTACTGCTACTGCTACTGCTACTGCTACTACTACTACTACTACTACTACTGCTACTGCTACTGCTACTGGTCCTGCTACTGCTACTGCTA